TAAGTATTCATGCTGTAAATTGTGTATGTGGTGTGTGATGTCAATAAAAAACGTTTTCTATTCTATTCTATGTATCTTTAATTTGATAGTTTTTAGGAGTCCGTACCCAAAGGATAATTATCTGAGAAGCGACTTATTCAAGAAAAACTATTAAAATAGGGCGGAGGCTTTTTGGAGGTCTGTCTGAGCGTCCGTTCGTGGTTTAGCTCAAAAACTATTGGTATTAGAAACTTCTAATTTGGCATGAGTATACTCGTTAATTACGCCAACTAAGTGGTAAAGTAGAATTTCTCAAAAAAAAATAGTGTATTTTCCCTACATGTAAAGTGGAGAGTGGGGATGATAATTTTTTTTGTCTTCTCCATAGTGTGGGGCATTTTTGGATAGTTCTTTTAAAAACATTGGGAGTATGGGAAGGTCGCTTTTCGATTTAGTAACCCGTTTGTGATTTATTAAGCTCTAAAGAGTTAATTTTCATCAACCAACTAAACTCGTTGGTAAAAATTCAAACGTTACAGCAGTAGTACCTATATATAACAAAGTTAAAAGGAAAACTATCATACTTAAATTGGTTTTACAAGTGTATGAGTAATAGTCGCCCAAAAGTCGAAAATTTTGAACAACTCCATAGATAATTAATGTGAATTTTTTTAACTTCTCTAATGAATAATGGTACGGAACTCCGACTAGCACTTGGTCGGTATTTTTCTCTGAATATATGGCTAGTAAAAAGTCGGGAGCAGCCAAGACAAAAGAAATATCTTCCTTTGTATTAAAGTCAAACCGTCAACAGGGGGTTAGATGTCTATATTTAAATATATTGCAATCCGTTTCAATTCGACATTTGATATATTCTCGAACTTTACTCTTAAACTATTTGACACCGATTGCGATCGCAACTTTTTCTATATATATTGAATGGACGATATTAATACGTTAATTAAACTTTAAATAGAATTGTCTAAGGTAAGTGTAAGAACTGTCGAAGTTGAATGCTAACTGTAGTCTTTTGACGTGTATTCCTAAGACGTTATTATGCTAGTATGATTACGGAAAGCGTTTAATTTTTGCCTATGTTTAATTCCAGAAAGAATGTGCTTCGACGGAAAGTGCTTGGGTTACATTGAGGTGGAGACGGGCTCCATGATCTTCGCGGTCTTAAACGCCGTAAGTTGCCACTTGAATAGTAGAGTTCGTTTCACGAGAGAAGTCTCTCGGATTTCAATGTTTTTGCTTTTATTACGAAGAAATAAGAGTTACGCCAAGGGAACTCTTTCGTTAAACTGTATATTTAAGGTATGGTTAGTGTAACTACACGTTCCGTTTGTAAGGGACTGTTTCGTTGTGGTATCATGTATAGTTTTGAGACAGAAACATCTAGTTTGCGGTGAAACCTTTAGCGAAGACAAATAAAAATATGCTGACACAAAAATCATCAAGTATTATAAAACTCCAAGCAGAGAGTTAGCGAATAGCAAGATAAAATATTTTGAATTATTGTGACCATCGTTATAGTAAATAGGGTACCTAATTTATTGCCTAAAACCTATCTCTAACAGACTTTAAAATCGAACAGAAGTCGGTAGAGTATGGGCCTGAGGTGGTGCCATATATTAATTTACCAAATTCACGTTATACTATTTCTAATGAAATATTATTAAAAGAATAGATAAATAAATAGAGTGTGTTGGTTAATGTTATTGTGTGAATATAAATTTAATCGAAATCGCTACGGTTTTCTTTATATAACAAAATAGATGAAAGCATTATGCTTAGTACCAAAAAAAAATACTTAGAAAATAAGGTATATTTTGTTGTTTTATATGCTTTTTGATGAGTGTTTGTATATTGTGAAATTTCATTTTATACATTTGTTATCTTCTATACTATAATAAAAACGTAACCGATCGATGTCTGTACATTGAAGATATATGAAAAAAACTGTTATGATGGATATTTATAAGTGTAATAGAACACAAAACAATGATTTTTTTTCTGTTTGTCTGTTTGTCGGTTTATCTGTTTGTCTGTGCGTTTGTGCACGATAATCTCAGAAACGGTTGAACCGATTTAGATGCAGTTTTCACTATTATAATTGTGGTATTCTTTCATTTACATTTAGTGTGAGACTAATAACCATTTATTATTATTTCAGGTGGTGTGGGCTTTCACTGTTGTTGGATCATTGATTGGGATAATCGTAATCTATTTTATGACTAATTCCTACGGTTACCAAGCTAAAGTAGGTGATGACAATTTTCGCGCCAATAGTATAGACAATTTTGATATTGGAGTGGGAGATTATCATATGAGTTTAAGAGATAATATGTCAACTCGGAATGCTTATTACATTGTCTACGTGGTTTGCGGTAGTCTGATTGGTGTGGGTCTATTCCACTTCTTGTTTGCCGTCTTACTTTGTAATGGCATCAACAAGGTTAGTACAGATATGAAAAAAATCATTATTATTAACAGACCTCTTGATAATAAGGATAATGAGTAATTTTTTTGTCTGTATTGAAGAATATTCAACACGATTTTTTTATAATTGAGTTAAAGTGTCACATGATGTCATACCTTTGTATATTTTCTACATAGTTGTGACGTAGCGAGCCCCTGTTCTTCAACTTTGATATCTAATATAATTCTTGTTAAATTGAAGCAAAAAATACGTACCTATCTAATAATTTTTTTTTTTATTATTATAGTGACGGATTATATATTTAATAATTTCACCCAGGCATCATCCTTATTGACAAATGCCCCAGTTCAAGCAGAGCGATCAGAGTATAATTTTCCTATGGTGTGACCTAACTGTTTCTTTTGCAATGTTTTTATTATTATATTTAATGTTATATGACTGGCCGTTAAACATTTTTTACACGTTAGTGGGTACGGTCAAGGACCAAGTCACATAACATTAAGTAAAATAAATAATAATAAAGAATTTGCAGTAAGGGACCTTAGACTTGGCTTTACATTGTCTACTTTGCCTTGAGATTTCGTTATTTTTTAGAGATAAACTAGCAGCTCCATTGAGACTACTATTTATTTACAGAATGTTTTGGTGGGGATTCCATTCTTTTTGCAGAAAGCTGACGAGTAGATAAGCTTGTTACCAAGTCGCTAGCGCGTTTCGAAATATAGTCAGCGCCATCTGGTGATGTGTGCTAACACCACTGCCCATTCAACGCATTATTTGAAAGCAAACATTGATAGCATTGATATAGGAAATTATTGTACAGTTTTCCTTTTAATTTCCTCCTTTAATTGCTTTTAACATGAATAGATACTATAAATATTAAAAGGAGAGTCTCACTACGCAGAATAAATTTTGCAAAGACAGTCGGTTTCTCCATTCGGCCATTACGGTTTCTCCATGTGAACGTTAAACTCTACCTCTGTACTAAATTTCAGCGTTCCAGATGAATCGAAAGTACCAGTTCTATTTTGATGATCAGTGAGGGAGTTTGGTCGTGTCGAAAATACAAAACTTTGCTTTTGCTTAGCTTCGGAACTAAATGATCTATCGAATTGAAATTTTGGATTTCAAGTGTGTGATTACAGCTTACTAGATGACGAAAATTTTAGCGTTCTAGTCCCATCTAGGGGTTCTCAAATATGGGCCCGAAAATGTGGCGATGGTTTCCGAAGAGAATAATATGGCAGTGTTACTTCGCGTTCGACTTATCTGGGTACTGCTCTGCCTCCTGATTTATTCAAAACGTCAATCGCGGATATTAATGAAAATGGTATCAAATGTAAGGAATTTAGCCTTTTAATGAAATGATGAATTAAACTTTTTAATGAAAATTGTTTAAAAACAGTAACAAGTGCTTGAAAGATTCGTCAGTCCTGGGTAGCTCAATGGTTAGAGCAGTCGCCCGGATGGCGAAAAGGCATGGGTTCGAATCACATCTTAGGGTGCCAGGGATCAAGTGAATTTTTTAAGCATTAAATATAAAAAATATAAAATAATAATTCACAAAGGAAGATAGCTAACTTTGCTGAAGTTTCCCAGTAGTCAGTGCTTTATAAAAAATATACCGTTATTTCAGATGTTCTGGATCCTTTACAGGTTTCGTGTTGCGTCTAAAACAAATTTTAAATGTCTTTTATTTATTTAAATTGATTTAAATTCTTCTAGCCATATACGACCTAAGTCTTGCTCGACTTCTAAATTGCGTGACGCCTTTTTTAATATTTTTTAATCGTTCGTCTGCAGGGTGGCCAGCATGATTCGAAATATTGAATTTTGTTCTTCGTATTGTATATCATATTTCATATTTTGACGTTTATTCTGCCACTCGCTTATAGCTTTCGCTAAACGAAGAGTCGCTCACACGTTGCAATTGAACATATAAAAATAGCGAATGTCGAATTAAAATCAGTAGAAAAGGAGCGCTCAACGCGAGACGAACGATTCATAAATACAGCTCTTGTACTTATGTGCTGAATAAAAAATTTACAAATGTATGCCTACAAATAAAATCGATACATCCATTTAAAAGTAGTTTTATTCGTACGTAGGTATGGAAATACAGAATATTATTAAATCCTATTACAAATACCAACAAACTCGCTACGAGGTCATACAAAGAGAGTTCGGACGGCCGGTGCATCGCATTTTGTAGTGATTTTGCTGAATTATTTAACATTTTTATTGATATAATATATCTTTATTCCTTATGAAGTAATAATTCTTCTGGTACAAATTTTGTTGTCTAACATTATTGTAGATAGGAGATATGACACGGTTAGCTTATAGCTATTTTCGAAGTTTTCAATGCTTTGGTTTATAATATTAAGCACAATTTACGAAAAGCGACCGCTACGAACTATGCCCATAGTTATATTTTCTGCATTATTCAATAAGTCAAAATATGTAATATATCGTTTATGTAGGATACGATTTCGAAAGAAGTTTATTATAATCGACTTTTAGTTTTCTTTTTTATTTCTTTTATGTGTATTTATACTATGAATTTTATTTATTTCAGAGAAACAATTCGCAGATCAAGGCATATTTCATCTATGGCATAGTGATGGCTATAATAAATTCCATTGCTGTTTTGGTACTTGGTTCGATGTATAGCAGTTTTTTTTTGCTTGTTGCTCCCCTGGGTAAGTGAAACATTCGCAATATTACAATAGGTACATAATGCATTAAGAATTCATTTCAAAATCCAAGAGAATGACGCTGCCGGACTGACGGACTCGCTACTTTTGTCTCCAAAGAAAATTAGTCATTAAAATTTATTTCTGTGTTTGTCTCCAATCTTTCATACGAGGGTCAAACTGAAAGTTCTTAGAAAATCAAAAACTGATTACATTAGCCAGTTATTAGTTATATTATATCTTTTCAAAATATTGTCCATTCACGTCAATACACCGCTGCATGCGATGGAACCACTGGGAAAAGCACTTTGCCCACTCGTCCTTAGGGGTCTCTTCAATGGCATCGCGATACGCAGCCACCGCTTCTTCAGCATTCATAAACCGCTTTCCTTTAAGTTTTTCTTTAATTTTTGGAAATAAATAAAAATCACAAGGCGCGAGGTCGGGGCTATACGGCGGGTGACCCAGTAATTCAACGTTTGATGTCGCCAAATAGTCGATCGTTCGCTTGGCGGTGTGCGACGAGGCGTTGTCGTGGTGAAGGAGGATCCTACTGCGAGGTCGTTTCTCTCGAACTTTTTCCAAGACAAGTGGCAAACAATTGGTAGTGTACCATTCTGCAGAAACTGTTTTTTGATCCTCTAACACAATTGTTGCAAAATGACCTATCCTTCCAAAGAACGAGGCCACCATTTTTTTTCCCGCACTTCGATCTCTCTTCACTTTAGTTGGCAACTCCTCGAAAGGAAACATCCACTGAGCAGATTGTCTTTTGGTTTTAGGATCATAACAGTAAATCCAGCTTTCGTCACCTGTTAGTATGTCGAACACAGCATTTGAGTCACCTCCGTTAAATCTTTCAATCATTTTACGACACCAATCCACACGATGGAGTTTTTGAGCCTCAGTCAAATTATGAGGTATCCACCGGGCGCAAAGCTTCCTGACCGCTAAATGTTCGTGGAGGATTTTGTGCACTTGACTCATACCGATGCCTAAGCTTGTCCGAATCTGTTGATAGGTCACTCTTTTGTCAGTCTCTATCATACGCCGCACAACACAGATGTTATCTTCAGTCGTCGCCGTAGAAGGCCGTCCCTCACGTAAATCATCAGTGAGATTAGTGCGACCACGTTTAAACTCATTAAACCAGTTGTAAACAGTCGCACGAGATGGGGCTTCATCGTGAAAGGCCAATCGTAGTCTATCATAACTTTCTTGTTGACTTAAATGACATCGAAAGTCATAAAAAATCATTGCACGAAAATTTTCTCGTGTTAAATTCATGATGACGTGACACAGATAATTTTCAATTTGCCGCCAAATCGTAAAACAAATGACAAATGAATGAAATATATACTCAGTAATATTGGCAAAGAGTTATATTTTCAAATTTTAGAATTATTTTTTTATTATATTGTTTATAAGTGGCCAGTTCTAAGAACTTTCAGTTTGACCCTCGTAAGTATAGTCAAAACAACAAAACCCAAATTTCACCAATTGATTTTAAGTCTTAACTGCTTACAGTTAAATTTACAATTGAATACGGGAATTTGGTGTTATTTGATGCTCTGTGCACATTAAACAAATATTTTTGTTATTGTTTCAGTTGTCTACGGTTTTATACTGCATATGATAAAATTGACTATGGACAAGTTTTCGACCGGACAAGTACTCGATTTTCAATACAAGCGTCTCGTGGAACAGTTCGGACTCACTCCTTAGAAACTAATACTTTCCGGTTCTTTATTTCGTTATATTGTTTAGTTTCAAAATTGTCTCCGTAAAATTGGAAGCATCATAGTTTATAATCACACTAGAATTATTATAATATAATCTAAGCCAACATAAGCCTACTTAAGTTCTTTATTATGGTAATTTTATATATTGCCTATATTCCACATTTATAACTTATTTAGTATATTTTTATATTTGTTCCTATCTTTTCTCCCCTTTCCTTACCGGGTCGATATCCCTTATATGCTTTAATCGAGACGTCGTCGGCATAGTAGGGCTGCGTCTTGACGCGACTGGGACGAGGCTTGCCTCTCCGTTCGTATGATCAAATTGAATCCCCAAATTCACTTTACGACCACAAACACCGAACTTTGAACAAACACTCTATAAAACTCTTACTAGCCAATGTACAAAAAAAAGCCTTTTTAGGTATGATCTAACTAGACAGATTATAAACTGTCAGTGTTTATTATTTTGTCGTGACATAACTATTATTAAGAAAGACATAATTTCAACACCGAGCATAAGTATATAAGTAATTAATCATGTAAGATTTAATTTTGATTTATGTTCGGACCGTGACGTCACGTAACGTAATGTACGAAGCGGAGGAGAGATGGTCATTGCGCCTTGAGTCGCCGCAGCATAAATACCATTTTTTATATAAATATACTTTTCAATTGTAAAACTTCAAAGTTAACAATAAACAGTTTAACAAGTGCAGGCAGACTTATTTCAATCTCGAGAAATTGAGAATCGGCGTAATAATTTTGGTGACCCCGACGTGATTATATCACGGCCGCAGTGACGAGCGGCATTGCAAATTTGCCAAAAGGAGACCCGTCCTTCAGGAACCCGCCAGCCAGCAGCTGCAGCATCATTTCCGAAGGAAGTGTGTAAAATATCCTTTTCAATAATACTAACTCCCTTTTGCCTTGATTTGTGTGAATTAGATACTTCAACTCATTCGCGACGTTATTTACCCCCAACAAAATAAAAAAAAATAAAAAATCAAGATAGAATTATTCTTCATACATTTATTTACGTCAACTTAAACTATACTTAATAAAAAGGTAAAATTTTCTCACTAAGTGAATACTTCAGATTTAATAACTAAAGAAAAAGTTGTTGTGAACAGTGCGCATTCAAACAATAAGATACCTACCGTGCACTCCAAGTCGGCCGCAAAACTGGTTTGTTATCTAGTGAACAACATAACACAGCGTGCAAAGGATTCAATCGTAACATATTTACTAATTTATTAATGATCATAGTTTTATAATCTGTAGTGATTTATAGTGTGTTACGTTATTTGTGCCGACAAGATGAGTGATTTAAAAGATCTTATTAAGCAAAGAGGTAACATAAGGGCTCGATTTACTTTGTTCGAAAAATATTTAAAGCCGTTATTGGATTCCAATGATACAAGTGCATTAAGGATAAATGAATTACGTGTCCGATTAAGTAAGATGCGTGAAGTGTCGTGCATCTATGAGGATATTCAATCTCAAATTGAAATGTTGGACGAAGATATAACTAAACAAATGAATGAGCGCGAAATTACTGAGAATTTGTTTTATAATTTAATTGCTCAAGCTCAGTCATTATTAGATTTTGTAATTTATAGATATCGAAATTTGAGTTTTTTTGTTTGAGTCTATGGCTACTTTTCATAGACTATTTTCTTGTATTAGTAACTTGTCTGTGTTTTTATGGTAATAAAAAAAATGGCAGTTTTTCATCTCTAGAAACAGCCACGCGTTTAAATTATATTTTATTGTACCTGTTATTAACAATAGGTTATGGGCCCAGGGTCGCATATATTTTTTTAGCTAGAAATAGTTGTTTTTCTAACAAAGTTCGCGAGTGATAGATTGCAACAAAAATCATGTCGACGAACTATTTGGTAAATGTACCAAAGTTAAAAGGACGAGAAAATTATACGGAGTGGTGCTTCGCCGCGGAGAATTTTCTGATCCTGGAGAATATGGAGCATTGCATAAAGCCTGCTGCCGGGAAGATTATAGAAGCCGCTGATGATGCGAGGACCAAGGCTAAATTAATTCTTACGATCGACTCAAGTTTGTACGTGCACATAAAGGATGTCAAAACGTCGTTGGAACTGTGGAATAAACTGAAAGCCTTATTCGACGACTCCGGATTCAGTAGACGTATCAGTTTATTGAGAAATCTTATCTCAATTCGTCTCGAAAATTGCAGTACTATGACAAGTTATGTGACACAGCTAGTAGAGACTGGACAAAAGCTAAGCGGAACAGGATTTCAAATCAGTGACGAGTGGATCGGCTGTTTATTGTTAGCTGATTTAACGGAGAAATATTCGCCGATGATAATGGCGATCGAGCATTCCGGGATCGCCATCACCACCGATGCCATTAAATCAAAGTTGATGGATTTGGACGAAAACAATAATGGCGCCGCAAGCGGGGCATTTGCAATTTTTAAAAAAAACAAGGTTGGCAGCATTGGTCACAGTAGAGCAAAAGACAATGGACATTCGCAAATGTCAAAGTCAAAGAAAGTACTGCGGTGTTATAGATGTAAACAAACCGGGCACTATCGCAATCAATGTACTGTTGATAAGGATTCTAAGGATTCTCTAAATACCAAATCGAGTGAACGTAAACAAACAAATGCGTTCAACGCCGTCTTCCTAAATGGCAGTTTTTCAAAAACAGATTGGTATGTTGACTCGGGAGCAAGCGCCCACTTAACCTCAAATGAAGATTGGATTAAAAACGTCTCGACCGAGCATCTAATTAAAGAAATCGTTGTTGCGAACGAAGAAAAGCTTAGTGTAAAGTGCTCGGGTGACGTGCAAATTGCGACGGTTACTAACGACAGTGAATATGACGTGATTGTTGAAGGAGTATTGTGTGTGCCGAAATTAACCACAAACTTACTGTCTGTCAGTCAGTTGGTCAGAAAAGGTAACCGAGTGGTGTTTACTACCAGCGGGTGGAGTATTTACAACAGAAATGAGCAATTGGTCGCCGTAGCATCATTAACAAATGGAGTCTACAAATTGATAACTCCTGAGAGCACACTGGCCACAACATTTATATCTATAGACACATGGCATCGCAGATTAGGCCATGTAAATAGCTTGTACTTAAATAAGATGCCTGATGCAGTAAGTGGCATGGAACTTGAGAAGAAAAGTGATATTTCTCAATCGTCATGTATTGTTTGTTGTGAAGGCAAGCAGTCACGCCTTCCTTTTGGACATACTGGTTCGAGAAGTGATAAATTATTGGGTGTAGTTCACAGTGATGTATGTGGTCCGATGGAAAATGCTTCTATTGGTGGGTCCAGGTACTTCATGTTGCTCATTGATGATTACAGTCGTATGACCTACATATATTTCATGAAACAGAAAAGTGAAGCACTTCAATACCTCCAGAATTACAAGGTCAAAGTAGAGAACCAATTAAACAGAAAAATTAAAATACTACGCAGTGATAATGGGAAGGAATTTTGCAACAGAAGTTTTGATGATTATTTGAAGCAAAATGGTATTTTGCATCAGAAGTCGAATCCCTACACGCCGGAGCAAAATGGCCTGGCGGAGCGTTTTAATCGCACGGTCATTGAGAAAGCGAAGTGTTTATTATTTGATGCCAAGCCAGGTAAAGAATTTTGGGCTGAGGCATCAAATACAGCAGTCTACCTGCATAACCGTACTGTTCTTCCAGCGTTGAATGATAAAACACCCTATGAAGTATGGACAGGAGGTAGGCCAGACATTATTCATTTGCGAATTTTTGGGAGCCGTGTCATGGTGCATGTGGCAAAGGAAAAGCGCCAAAAATGGGACAAAAAGTCAGAGGAGCAGATACTTGTGGGCTATTCAGAGGACATAAAAGGGTATAGACTTTATAATCCCGTCACCAAGAAGATCAACACTAGTAGAGATGTTATCATAATGGAAGAAGTGTCAATGCCTGTGACAGAAAGCAAAGAATGCAATGAAGAGAATCTAGAATCAGTGGGGGGCATATCTTCAGATGTTTTAGAAGACACTATAATTGAAAGTCATGGTGACAAATCTGACCTGACATATATTCCAAGTGAATATGAAGATACTGAGTTGACTGAATCAGATGAATCAAAGTATAATAGAAGAACTGTTAGGCTGCGGAAGAAACCAGAACGGTTTGGATATTCAAATATGTGTGCTAATTCTACTTTGGAAGCTTGGGATGATGCTGGTGATCTGACTCTGCAGGAAGCATTGGCAGGGCCAGAAAAGGAGCAGTGGTTAAATGCAATTGGGGAAGAACTGGACAGTTTTAGTGAAAATGATGCATGGGAGTTGGTAGATGTTCCAAGTGCAGGCACAGTGGTGAAGTGCAAGTGGGTTCTTAAAAAGAAATATTGTGACAAACAAGTGAGATATCGTGCAAGGTTAGTTGCTAAGGGATTTACACAAAGACCTGGTGTAGATTATAACGAGACGTTCTCTCCTGTTATCAGACATTCAACTTTGCGTTATCTATTTGCATTGAGTGTACAGTTAAATATGGACATAACCCATCTAGATGTCACTACAGCATTTCTTAATGGTTGTTTAAAGGAAACTATATTTATGCAGTTACCTGAATATTTCCCTATTGTTGATTGTAACAAGGTTCTTAGATTAAAAAAGGCTATTTATGGTTTAAAACAGGCATCATTGGCCTGGTATGATAGAGTTAATGAAATTTTATGTAATTTAGGTTATGTCAAGAGTAAAGTAGAGCCTTGTGTATTTATAAAAGATTATCATAATAAAAAAAAAGTGATAGTTGGTCTCTATGTAGACGATTTTCTGATTTTTTCAAATGTAAAGTCTGAAACTGATAGTTTAATTGAGGCCTTAAGTGCTAAATTTAAAATTAAAAATCTTGGTGATGTCAAACATTATCTAGGCATGAGAATTAATGTTGATAGGAAGAACTGTGTTGTAACCCTTGATCAGAAGCATT